GGTACCTCCAACAAGGTTAAGAACCACTGATCTAGAAAAACACATCACTCATACTGAATAGTTCCTGGAACTGTTGTAATGACATTTGAGATAATGGGTTAATTTGATAAAATGTTAATCATATCAGGTAGTAGTGAGTTCTGTCAGTAGTGATGGACAAGATATATGCTATTATGGGGAGACACCAAAGGTTTCCTTTTGAGGAACAATCAGTAAAAAGAGGGGTAGAAAAAGTTTAAAAGGAAGCCTCTGATAGGGCGGAAATCAGACCCAACCAACCTGACAAAAGTGCCAAAAACTGTAGTAAAGGGCTGTTTCGTCTATCCCCATTTACTGTGCTGTCCAGACTTCCAGCTTTAAAAAAACAAGCTTACAGTCTGGTGTAAAACAGCTGACAGCAGAGTTTCTCATAAGCACAAGAATGCAGGATTTAACCAGTGTTTAAATAAATGTGTCTACAAGTTGCAAAAGAATTGTTCCTTAGAGTAAAACTGACGGCAATCTTCCAACAGACAAACACGCAGAAAGTCTCAGGCTGGATTCAAATTTAAAGTTTACCTTTGATAAGCCTTTTTCTGTCTGTGCTGATGATCTTTCTTTTCAATGGCAGGAACATTTAGCCACACCTACACTGGCTCTAGGGTCGGTCAGTTATCAACAGCTAACAAAGCTGGATGTGAAGCTGTGATTCTCCTTTAGTGATATGATGGGAATAGGTTACTGTATACCTCTCGTTTGATTCTTCAGTACTTTATCTGCTGAGTGACGAGCTGAACACCTCAGTTATCGAAACCTTTGGTTAGAAAAATGTTTTGTGGAAATCTTACCATACAGTCTTTTTTTTTATCATGAACTCTGTGGTTTTCAGTTCTCTTTTAGCAGTTTGGGAAAGGCTCTCAGGGATAAAGGGTAAAAAGGCTACAAGATACTGGTAAGTTCCAAACACACTGGTCTGTGTGGGTTTTAGAGTCTGTGCAGGAAGGATAAGTCACAGTGTGAATAAGGCAAGAAGGTTATACAAAGCACAAAAAGAAAATGGAAGAGTGAGCATGAAAACATGCAAAATCAAAACTAAAATCAGCCACTGGAACCAAATCAAACCCAAAGTTACATATTACATATCCACATATGTGGTCTGCCCCTGTTCCAGTTTTAATTATTAGTTAATCCTCTCAAGGCAGGCGTTGCCAATTTGCAACAGTTAAAAACTAACAACCTGATTACCCCACATACATATTTGATGAGTTTTCTTTACTCAGAAGTACCACTGCAGGACTTGGTTGTGCATTAGCAACAAAAAGTTTAATTTGAGCCTGAGAGGGTTAACTGTTCAGTTCAGAGTTCAGTTATTCAGAGTTTCAGTGGTTTCTGCATTGACAAAGGAGGACTGGAGCATTTGGGGCAAATAATGGAGACAAAAGTTGATATTTACCTGTTTCCATGGACATGGGATGCACAGAAGGCGAAGCTGTAGTGCAGCAGTGTGGGATCAATCATGGCTCCATTCTCTGCCCTCTCCAGCAGATCACTCAGGTAACAAAGATGGCGATGACAGCCTCGAACACCATAACGAGCGCAGTACTCATCCAAGACAAACACCTGACCAGGACTAAACCAGCCCTGTTGGTAACACACAGAAACACTGTTGTCGGATTCCTCTGATGAAGTAAGTGATGTTTATATGCTATAACACTGTAATAGCACTTAACAATAGTATCATGCTAGCATACTAAACCACATCTTTACTGATCGTTAGATTTTGTTATTATTAAGACACTACGGTTGCTAAGATACAGAATGCATTCCTGTGTTCACTCCGTAAGACCTGCTGCCGCTGATTTTCAGTACTTTTCATGTGAAATTTGGCACACCTCAGTCTTTTCTCTTTGTTTCCCTCTCAACAGCCACCATTGTTGTCAGTTTTTCTATCAATTATAGGTTTTAGACTCTTTTTAGATTTTGTTTTACTTACCAAGCAGGAATATGAGTCATTGAGCCTGTGGTCCAGAGTGAGGCGCTGGACAAGCTCAAACAGCGAGGCGTGGTCAAAGTTACAGGGGTTAGCTGAAATGAACTCGTCCATGCCATGCTTCTGGGCTCGATCAGCATCTGTTTATGCCAGATTATGCATTCAACGAGGCGGCACACAGAGAGAGAAAGACATAAAAAAGGCAAATGTCATGTGTCGTATTCATGTTATGCAGTCATTCATAATTTGCATGATTGGCAGAATTTGTGCATTAACTCTCTTTACATGTGCTTAAACACCATATTGGCTGTGATTATACTTACTACAACAAGAGAAAGTAATAATAATCATTTTCCCAGTGAATGCCTTTCCTGCATTTGTCAGAAACACAAAAAGGGCATCATTCTGATGCCTCTTCACAGCATTGGCAGTGGCCCCCAGCTCTCTAGTGTGGCCCCATTTAACT